GCCGCGCCGCGCCGCGCCGCGCCGCCGTCGCGTGTATGCAACTTCTTGCCGGTTGATTTGATCTTTCCAACGAGCACACCGAGGCGAACCGGCCCGGCCGATCGTTGTAAAAAGTCACTTGCAAATGAGTCGATTAAACGCGCACCTGGAGAAAAAGTTGGTCTCTCTCTCTCTCTGTTCCTTGCTCTTAACGCGCGACACGATTTTTAATGCCTCGATTACGCGGGCAAATTGCTCGGCCTGTGTACCTTCATGGAACTTATTAAATAATTATCGACCCTGGCTAACCAATTACGAATCGACTCGAACGATCTCGCTGCGACCGGGCTGACACAACGGTGGCCTGGGAATTCGCTCTACGCGACTGAAATGATTTTAGCGTTGTTTCAAGATTTATTTTATTTATTATTTTATTCGTCTCGATACCAGATAGGATATTATATTTTTAGGTATATTTTTGTTGCAAGTTTTTATATTCTAATGTGCAGAAGAATGAATACATACATTATATAGGGTGTCCCAAAAATGTCTCGTAATCTAGAAATGGCGGGTTCCTCGGATCATTTGAAGCAACTTCTTCCTTTACAAAAATGTTCTCCGAGGCACCGTTAACGAGTTATTAACGAAAAACAGTGACCAATAAGAATCGAGTACGGCTGACGCGAGGCGGCCCAGCCAACCAGCGCACGAAGCCTAGTTCCACTCATTGGCTCGGTCGCCTCGCGCCAGCCGAGCTCGCCTCTCATTGATCACTGTTTTTCGTTAATAACTCGTTAACGGTGCTTCGGAGATAATTTTTGTAAAGGAAAAAGTTGCTTCAAATGACCTGAGGAACCCGCCACTTTCGGATTGCGAGACATTTTTGGGACACTGTGTATATACGTACAACTTTTGTTGGACATATTTTTTTGCCGGATCATCGGAAATGCCCGAAAAATCGTGGCTTGTTTTCAAATTGGATACGTGCGTTCAGGGACGAGCGCGCTCGCTGCCGCTTCACTGCTTACCCGGCCGTCGAAATACCGTTGACATCTATTTGTTAAGATTATTCTACACGCGAAGGTTTCCAGAGGTTGCGTCCAAACTTGATCGTATCCTCTTCCTAGCAGTTGTTCGAGCTTTCATATAGAAAGGTGGTCTGATGCTTACAACTCTTTATAATTTTTTTAAAAACTTTTCTCAAAGTTGGAATTATTATTTTGACTCTATTTGAAACCGCCATTAACCCTTTGCATTCGAGTGGTGACTCTGCTGCACCACTAAAATTGTTACATCACGTTCTAAGATAATTTTGATATTATCAAAGTTTAGATATAAAAAATTGTTAAAAGTCTAACTGTTGTATGAGTCACAAGACTAAATTTCATATGTATAAAATGCACTTTGTCATGTAAAATGGAAATACCATAAGTCAAAAAAATTAATTTGGATTTACAGTTAAAATGGCTTCGAGTGCAAAGGGTTAAAACCTGCATTCTAATATTTTATAATTGATGTGCAACACGTTTAATTTCACTTTGAACAGCACACTCTGCACAGAATCACATAAAACGAATGATATTTTGGATTTGGGAGGTTTAAAGGGTTATCACTCTACTTCGAATTTCATGCAGTTATAGCAAAATTGGGTAGCTGCAATTTAAAGTAACGAAAAGATTAAAGCAATTTAACAACGTCGATGCATTATTTTCGATCGCTTGAAATGATTGAAGAAAGAACGAATATTCTATTTAGTTTCCATTTTTTTCGAATAAATGGAGGCAGTTTTTCGTTTGCATGAAAATCCGCAGTATAGCAAACAATTTTACTTCGATGCATTATTTTTGCTCGCCTAAAATGATTAAAGAAACAATGAATATTCTACTTATTTTCTATTTTTTAGAATGGATGAAAGACAGTTTTTCGTTTGCACGAAAATCCGCAGTATAGCAAACAATTTTAGTTCACTATAGCAAACTTGAAACACTTAATGTTGGAAACGCAAAGCAAATTCCCAGATCACGTTGTGCTTTTCGTACGAGTTTGCTCGAAGTCAGTTTTCGCAAGCACATAGATCGCTTCGATTTCATCTGACGGTTGTAGGATTCCGTCGATTCGCCGACATCTTATTGTGCCCCGGAAATCGTTGAACCGGTTCGATCGGAGAACCGTGTTCGAAATTGTTCGCGCATCCTCCGAGCCGGCTAACGATCACCGGGCGCGGTAATTAGACTCGAGCGGATTCATTCGTGAGATTGCGAATTTCAGATCTCATTCTGCTCTGATTGTCAGAGTCACGCAGCCGTACACTCGCTAATAATGTGACAGTCGGAACGCAGCCACGGTAAACAGTCCACTATTTTATCACGCTTGACCGCGACCGAGAACAGAACACATGTATCTGCTGGAAAAATAATTTAAGACCGCCTACTCGTCGTTAACTAGGAGAACTTATGCCTCTTGCCATCGATTATTCGTGCCAGCTTTTTTAGTCTTCTCTTCTTTCGCCGCCCATATTGTCGGCTTTCCATCGGGCGAGCGGTTTTACGTTTCCAGTTTTCTACCTGGTACCGTGCGCCTAATCCGTCTAAAACCACCGCGATAAGGATTAGGGTAGTAACCGAAATTCCTCTTTTCCCGGAGATTCGCGCTCGGACGTTTACGAGAACCGATAAAACGGCGGACGGGTTTACGATTTAATTATTTAACAGCCGCTTCTGGGACTACGTTCCTACGGCTCTAAAACAGTTTCCATCGTTATCGCCCGCGGAATTTCTTTAATTCACGCCGCATACCGCGGCGGTCCGTCGAACGGGAATAGTTGAAATCATCGCCGGGAACAATTAACAATGGAAACCTCGAGTCCTTCTGAGCAAAGGCGACCGGCAGATGGTCGATAAGACGTTTCGGTTTGCTCGCCGTGGAAAGAAAAGTAGGTTGCGGGGTACGACGCTGTGACGTCGCGACGGTGGTCGCAGAAGGTCGTCTCGATTATATGAAAACTGCTGGAAGCCCGCGGAATTTTCAGGAAGTGATTCATGCCTCGAAGTCTCCGCAACGGCGAGCTTTCACCGGTCGCTCGACCGCTCGCTCGCTTGCGTCACCTTCGGGGCAGGTGACGAGCCGTGACCGATCGTATTTAAGACTGTTTAATCGACTGTCTTTACGGGGTTAAGGGTCTCCCGGAGTTCATGGGAAAGATAGCTCGTTCTTAAAGAATTCTCTTGCAACTTTGCCCTTGAAACGGTGGAACGGAACGATCGAGATTCGTTCGGAAGCACGGCGTAAGGAGAGGTTGTCGGACCACGGTTATCCGCTCTTCAAGTTTCTGCGACGCTAACAGTTTACTTCCACGAGCTCCCGCGAGAGCTGCTAGTGAGTCATCGTCGCACATCGACGGTGATTTTGTTTGCATAAGTGCGATGCTATACCATGTAGAGGATACCGCAGAGTTGGACATGATTCGCATAACATCTCGAATAAATTCTTTGAATAAAATTTAATTAGAACAATATTTGGAATGAATTCTTTGAATACAATTTGATTCGAGCAATATTTCGAATAAATTCTTCGAATCAAATTTGATTCGAGCAATACTTCGAATAAATTCTTCGAATAAAATTTGGTTCGAGTAATAGTTCGAATCAAATTTGATTTAAGTAATATTTCGAATAAATTCTTCGAATAAAATATTATTTGAAAAATATTTTCAATAAAATCTTCGAATAAAATTTTGTTCGAGTAATATTTCGAATAAATTCATTGAATAACATTTCATTCGAGCAATATATCGAATAAATTCTTGGAATAAAATTTTATTTGAATAATATTTCGAACAAATTCTTCGAATAAAATTTAATTCGAGCAATATTTCGAATAGATTCTTCGGATAAAATTTTGTTCGAGTAATATTTCGATTAGATTCTTCGAATAAAATTTGATTTGAGTAATATTTCGATGAAATTCTTCGAATAAGATTTTATTCGAGTAATATTTCGAATAAATTCATTGAATAAAATTTGAGTCGAGCAATATATCGAATAAATTCTTCGAATATTTTATTCGTGTAATATTTCGAATAAATTCTTTGAATAAAATTTAATGCGTGCAATATTTCGAATAAATCCTTCGAATAAAATTTAATTCAAGGAACATCTCGAAATATTATACGAATAAAACATGATTCGAAGAATTTTCACTGGAAATATTACTCGAATCAAATTTTATTCGAAGAATTTCATCGAAATATTTCTCGAATAACATTTCGGTACAAAAAGTGCATTCTTATAATGCCCACCTGAGAGGTACCGCGGAGACAATAGAAACTCTCGGCGAAGTACTCGAGTCTCAGCAGAGCTCACCTAGCGAACTCCGTCAGAAATGAACGTTCAAGATCGCAGGTGTAGACACGAAGTCGGTCCACGTCCCCTTGTCCCCCCTGTTCGAAACGTGCCGTTATTTTACACCGACCATGCGGCAGTATCTTAAACTTTATTAACATACACGAGTAATGATTTTACAACGGAGGGCTGAGAGCAGCCTCTCGAAGAAGCCTCGCAAATGAATAATTTCGCGGAGCGCGCGGACTCGGTCTTTCCAGGATCAACAATGCGAGCCGTTGCCGAGCCGCATGCTCGAAGATCATTGTGAAACCATCCGCTGCACCGGAGGATAGGAAACACTTTCAGGCCCGGCTTTATCGGAATCGTCGGTTGTAAACGTTTCCACGACGTGCATCGTCGTTAATGCGGGTGCTTGCGCAACGAGCGTTGTTCCATTCCGATTGTTTTTTCGGTGAAAATTGCGCCACGTCCGAACGACCATCGACGCTCCGTTAAATCCGCGAACGTCTTTTCCAGCTTCAGTAATGTCTCCCTAATTGTCGCCCAAATTGTGCAGAAAAATAGACAACCTGGGAAGAGGAGATACGATTATTCGAGCCTTGCAGCTTGTTTCTATAATCGTTGGCAATCGATAACCATAAAAGAAACGAGCCACAAGGCTCGAACAATCGTATCTCCTCTTTCAAAACTGTCCATTTTTGAGGACAATCCGAGCGTCAATTAGAGAGACATGTATGTACTTCCGAGGGAATATTGTTCTCGGGTAGGACTTCAGATTTACCGGAGCTTAATGGAAAAGGCAGCGGTCGATTTAGTCGGCGGATCGCGCAACTGTGAAAAACAGATCGATGGCAGAGTTGACCGGGCGAAGAAACCCGTCGGTCTGCGAGCTGTTTGTTCCGCTGCGTGCGAAACTGCACGGGAAATCGGGTTAAAGGAAGTCTGTCGTGGAGATCGAGGTAACAGACGACGCTCGAACGACGTCAGTGTGACCGATATAGCTTCAAAACGCCTTACGTCTCGCGGTTACGGTGTTGCGCAACGCTAAGGTAGATTAACAGGCGTAAGGTTTCGTCCGGATTTCTGGGATTCCATTCACGGCGAACGCGGAACGGAATCGTTTCGGCGGCGTGTCCTTGTCTCCCCGGTGTCTTAATTACCAACGATATTTGTCCGATAGCGTCGCGCTATAATTTTGCCAATTATCTCCGAGCGTCCTTCGGCGATCGTTTCTATTCTCACGAAAAACCCGAATATCCTCGATCGATCGAGATCGCTGGCGGCGACGTCATCCTCGAGTCCTCGGTCCCGTTGATCCTGTAAGACACAGTTTCGCAGAACCGCGGTTGTATCACCGCGCAATTACAATCACGAAGTTGCGTTGATTGCATCGCGTTCGATCGCGTCGTAATTCAGATCTCTCGGATGAACGACGAGAGATCCGACGATTAGAAATTCATGAATTCATACGGACGGAAATCAAGCTGGAACGAGTGCTTTGAATTATGTAATTCAATTACTAATTGAATAATTATGTAATCGCGGCACGATGGTGCAGCTGGATCGCGGGGCGATCCAATTAGCACGGCCGCGCGCCGGAGAGATTGATCGGAGGGATGGGAATCTCTCTCACCTAATCGACGATGGCGTCCAAGTGTCGCATCTGCTCGCAGTACTTTCTCAGTCTCTCGATCCCTTCCTCTCTTCGTTGGCAATAACGATGCTCCCAGGCGTCCAGGAGACGGTCGTAGTACCTCTCCACCTCGAAGAATCTCAGATACGGATAGGTGGACTGCGCGGGGAAGATCTTCTCGAAGTTCCCGATCTGGGCCAGCTCGTCCTCGTACCGAATCAGCTGTCTGATGTCGTCTCTGGTCAACGTCTCCAGGATTTGATCGAGATAGTCCTCGCGTTTCTGCACCGCGTTGATCTCGTTCTGCTTCGTCTTCTCCGTGAGGCTCAGCGACATGCTGTAGAGCTTCGAGTCGTGCCCGATCGAATCGTAATTCTTGCACTTGGCCTTCGCCGATGTTGTCTGCGCGGTCTTCGGGATCTGGTAGCCCGCCATGTTCAACACGTTCCTGACCAGAGGACCCTGCAGCAGTTTTTTATTATTATTTAATTATGTTTACAGAAACGTGGACGTATCATTCGAACAGATCGACGAAGCAATGATACTATTAACCCTCTGCACTCGAAGCCGTTTTAACTGAAAATAAATAAAATGACTTTTCTGGCTCGTAGTGTTTACATTTTGTATGGCAAAGTGCAATTTATGCACGTAAAATTGAATCCTGTGATTCATGCAACGGTTACACTATTAAACTTTTGCACTCGAGTGGCGACTCTGAGGCACCGCTAAAATTGTTACATCACGTTCATCGTTACATCAACTTAGATATAAAAAGATTAAAAGTCTAACTGTTGTACGAGTCACAAGACTCAATTTCATGTGCATGAAATACACTTTGTCATATAAAATGGAGATACTATAAGTCAGAAAAATTAATTTAGATTTACAGTTAAAATTAATTTAGATTTACTTTGCATTTCGAGTGCAAAGGGTTAACAATTTTTTAAATTTAAGCTTTGATGATATTGAAATTATTTTGGAACGTGATATAAGATTTCTAGCGGTGCCTCCGAGTCACCACTCGAGTACAAAGGGTTAACACGTTAACTTCGAAAAGACACGCGAAATCAGGACAACTTGTTTAACAATATAACAGTAGAGTGGACGAGATTTGTTGCAGCAAATTCTTTCGTAATTCTGTCGCATCTTGTAGATCCTGAGAAAATTTAGCGTGCTGAATAGATTGAGATAAAGATTAGTTTTCAAGTTCGACGAAAGAATTCTGTCAGTTAAATATGACCGACGTGGCATATGACCGACGTAAAAATTAAACATTCTTTTCAAGTTACAATGAAATTCAGAGAAAAATTCCTAACAGTACAGTAAAGTTTCTCTAATTGACACTCAGATTGCGCACAAAAATGGACAATTTCGGAAGAAAAGCTACGATTATTCGAGCCTTACAGTTAGTTTTTATAATTACCGATTGTCAACAATTATAAAAACGAGCCGCGAGGCTCGAATAATCGTATCTCCTCTTCCCAAATTGTCCATTTTTGTGCACGATTTGGGTGACAAATAGGGAGACATTACTGTATTGAGATTTCTTTTTATTATCGAGCACGGAGTTCGCAAACTATTTCGATTCCTTTTTAATAATTCGTTGCAACTGTACCGGCAGAATTTTATATAGAAGAAAGGTAAGAGAATGTGCAAATATCATAATTTTTCTTTAAGAGTTGAAAGCAGTTTATATGGGGTTTTTAAACTTTAGAAGCGGGACTCGTCATTTCCACTTTTATATAGGGAACTAAAATATTATATAAAATTATTCTGGAATCCGTCTACTGTCCTCGTGGTCTCGCATTCGACCCAGTGATTTTAATTCGTTGCAACTGTACCGGCAGAATTTTATATAGAAGAAAGGCAAAAGAATGTGCAAATACCATAATTTTTCTTTAAGAGTTGAAAGCAGTTTATATGGGGTTTTTAAACTTTAGAAGCGGGACTCGTCATTTCCACTTTTAAAAAAGGAACTAAAATATTATATAAAATTATTCTGGAATCCGTCTACCGTCCTCGCGGTCTCGCATTCGACCCAGTGATTTTTGTCGAAAATTACCTTGATGATGGTGTCGAGCGGGGAGTCCGTGTGCAAGGACGGCAGAATGTTGACTTCGAGCAGCCACGGCTTGAAATTCTCGTCGAGCAGCACGTCGAAACCGTAGAGCTCGTAGCAGGAGTATCTGGAGGTTAGGCACTCCGAAATGGCGGCGTTCATGCTCGACTCAGCGGCTATCAGGGTCTTCACCACGATGTCCTTGATCTTGCGCCACAGCTCGGTCGCGTCCACGCCTTCCTCTGCCAAATGGCCCCACAAATTGCCGAACGACCATTTGTGGGCTCGCAGCGCGTTCAGGCCGTCGTTCATCACGTAGCCGGGGTTCAGCTTGTTCACGCTGGTGTTTGTCAGGTGCATGCACTTGTCGCTTAGATTCACGCCGCGTATGTACCTGCAACCGTTCCGTAATAAGAGCCGGATCGTCGTATTAGAGTTAACTCGGCGGTTACCTGACCGAGGCGAACCGGACCAGGCCCTCCTTGTAGATGTAGATCCTCGTCGGATTGATGCTCGTCACGAGAACGTAGAGCCGCAGATCGAATTTGGAGCCGTTGATGAGCCTCGGCCTCGAGATGTAACGCTGCACGATCATCGAGTGCCACTTCGGAATCTCCCACCACTGATTGATCACTTTAATACCCTGGCCGCGACCCGAGGTCGGCGGCTTCACGATCCACGTGCCGCCGACACGGTACTTCTGCCACACGTATTCGAACTTGTGGATCTCCCGCGGCAGGATATAGGTGCGCGGCATGAAGCTGTACTCTTTCTGGCCGAACTTCTTCATCATTTTGCTCAGGTTCGTCCAGAGCAGGTCCTTGTTCCCGAGATTGTACGAGCCTGGGATGCTGTTCACCTGGGACAGAGATTCGTCGATCCAACGAGATTTTTGTACGATTTGTCACCTGATACAGTAATCTCTCCGTAATTCGAGTTCAGATTGCAAAAATTAGGAAGACATTACTCTGTATCCGTTTCTCCTCTAAACTGACAATCCTTTGGAACCCTTTGGAACAAATCCAGGCCACGCTAAATGTCAAATTATTTTGGCTTCAGAGTCGTCGTGATTGGTCGTCATGATTCGCGGATTGTTTTGATTTTTATTTATTTATTTGTTCGTGTATACGGATAAGAAAGAAGAAGAAGGGATGTTTCGTTACAGAAGAAGAAATAAATTGGACGAGATTTTATATAGCCGCCGCACGAGTACAATAAAAAAATCGAATATACAGGGTGCCCCGAAAATGTCTCGCAATCCGGAAATGGGAGGTTCCTGGGGTCATTTGAAGTAACTTTTTCCTTTGCGAAAATTTTCTCCGAGACTTCGTTTACGAGTTATTAACGAAAAACACTGACCAATAAGAGGCGAGCTCGGCTGGTGCACGGCGGCCCAGCCAACGAGTGCGCGGAGCCCAGTTCCGCTCATTTGGCTCGGCCGTCTCGCGCCAAATGATCTTGCCTCTGATTGTTTTCGTTAATAACTCGTAAACGAAGCCGCGGATTGCATTTTCGCTAAGGAAAAAGTTGCTTCAAGTGACCTCAGGAATCCCGTACTTTCGGATTGCGAGACATTTTTGGGACACCCAGTGTGTATATATAAATGTAATAAAAGGTAGGAAGAAAAGTCAGAAAAAGTGTAGCGTAAACAATAAGTATATAAGTATATAAGTAAAAATGCATAGTGCAGAAAAATATAATAGATCAGAAATTTTGTGCACTTATGACAAAATTGAGCAGTTGCAATTTAAAACAGTAGAAAGAATAAAAGAATTCTAAATATCGAGGTACACTAATGTCTCCCTAATTGACGCCCAAATTGTGCACAAAAATGGACAATTTGGGAAGAAGAGATACGATTGTTCGAGCCTTGCAGCTCGTTTTTATGATTGTTGACAAACAGTAACTATAAAAAATAAACCGCAAGGCTCGAATAATCGTATCTCCTCCTCCCAAATTGTCCATTTTTGTGCACTCTCTGAGCGTCAATTAGGGAGACTTTACTCTACTACTTTGAACCTATCGAAATGATCAAAAAAAGGACAAACCTCCTACACAGTTTCTGATTCTAATAAATTAACGCAGACAATGCACGTTCTCACGAAAATCCGCAGTCCATTTATCAACGAAGAAGAACCCGAAGATGAACCCAAAAATACAAAGTTCCCGGAAAGTTTGACGAGATCCTGGCCTTCGGCCAAAAATATCACCGATCACTGTGCGTCGATCAGCAAGACTACTCACCTTTTGATAGTTCTTCAAACGTTGATACTTGGAGATGTCCCTGAACGAGGGGTACCAAACGGCGGACCAGTCGCTGTACTGGTTGACGATGCGATAACCAGAGTTCAGGATGATCTTGACGAGGATCCTGGGCATGGTGTTCGTGCTCTTCCATTGCAGAAGATGATTGAGGTCTTTGGACAGCTTCTTGGCGCGGTTCTCGTGGCTCTGGAAGAGGATGTACGGCGGCACGTGTGGGAAGAGGCTGTGCCTCATGGGCAGCGGAGCCTCTAGCTTCCGATCGCCGTCAGCCCCTTCGTCGAAGAGGACCTCGTCGCGGATCTTCGGCTGGATCGGGGCCCGACGGTCGGTCTTGTTCTTGGCCGTTCTGCCAGAACCGATCCTGTTCGAACCGGACCTGGGCTTCGAGCTGGTCGGTTTCGCATTGTCGATCAGCGCGGCGTTGTTCGCGGCGAGGAACGCCCTCTCCGTGAGCTCCGCGTAGAGAAGCCATTCCTCGTCCAGGTCCAGGTCGATCATCCCGCCGAAGGTGGAGGTAGAGGCGCACCGATGGCAAACGCTTTCGATCGGAGCAGGCTGGCCAAAGTCAGCCGGCATCGTGGTCCAGAAATACTGGTCAATTTCCCGGTCATCGTCGGTTCCGCGATCGCTCGAGGAATTTCTAACCGACGCCCATGATCGAGGTTGTCGCGCCGGTCTGCACCGAAGTTGCCCCGGGGGAGGAGGCCTGTTATCGAACACGCCTAATCGAACCGCATACAAGGTGTCTCGTTCGTCTCCCGAAAATACGAGCCGGCTCGAGGGAGAGACGATCCCCTTCTCTCTCTCTCTCTCTCTCTCTCTCTCTCTCTCTCTCTCTCTCTCTCTCTCTCCGGTCACGCTCGGCTCGGCTCGGCTCGCCGATTAGATTCGCGGGGAGTGTAACAGCCGCCATTAAATCAGTTTCTGTTCGGCCATTTGGTATCGGGTCGGCCGAACAATGCCGCGATTGATCCGGCAGAGGAGAAGAGCCTTTCCGCATTTGCGTGCCACGCCGGCGTTTATCTTCCACCCCGCCGCGCCGCGTCTACTCGCGCTACGAAGACGCGCTCGCAACGCGGGGGTAAACACGCGGATGCTTTACGCGCGTAACACGCTTCCACCAGCCCTGTCTCTGGTTTAGTGTTCCGTTCGTGTAGAAGCGCGCCTGTGTCCGATGCGATTCGCACGCATGCCGCGGGATATCGCGGCTCGGAGTTAGGCTGCGTTTACACTGCCGCGGCGCCGCGCCGCGCCGATGAATCCTCTCGGAATATGATCTTTAAATCTGCCGAGATATTCCCGACGTATGTATGCAAACGACGTGTTGAAAAACCTAGCTGCCGTAACAGTCCGTGCAAATAAACAGGAAGTTCGCGCGCCTGTTTTTCAATGTTGTCGCTTCGATGCCCGCACGAAGAACGAACATCCATCAATGTACGTCACGTGTGCTTGGAGACCTTTGATGAGACGCCATTCGGAGATGAACATTAGAATTTGTCGAGCTTTACGGGTAGTGTTGCGTCAACGTTTCGTAGACAGCTGTTCAGGGACATCCTCTATGGAATTCTGTTCGTTTCGTTGATTTGCTCGTGCTTGAACCGAATATCGTAGCTTGCCTTTGCGTTTCTTTTTCCTGCTTCAAGAATTCTACATTGCAAATGTGAGCCGTTTCTGTGATTTATTATTTTTATGCGAATGTGTTCTCTCTTTCTCTCTCCCTCTCTCTTTCTCTTTCTCTCTCTCTCTCTCTCGGTTGACACGTTTAACACGTTAAGCGTCGTACGAATATCGTGTTTTGATAATACCTATGAATTCTTAATCATTGATTAATTAATACTAATTGATTTTCCAGATTGTTTAAAATTTATTTAGATACGAGAAGATAATTTTTATAATTTTATATCGCCAGTCATCGGTGACCAGGGCTGGGAAAAGATCGATTTTCGGTGTAGCAATTGCACTATAAATATTTGTATCTTCTCGTGCAATACAAAATTTGTAGAATAAACTGTTTTTTAAATAGTAGATACACATGGATACCAGTTAAATATATTTGAAATGTTATTTTCACATATAACTATTATTTCAAAAAATAGTTCGTTTGCCAAATCCTCTATTACATGAGAAAATAAAAATATTTACAGTCTATTTACTATTTCAAAAATCCATTCTTTCAATGTAAAGAAAATATCAAATTTATTAAAGTATGTTAAATATTAAATTTTTATTGTGCACAGTTATTGAAATATTTATAGAGGGGACACAGTAACTGAAGCATGGTATTCAGGGAGGGAGCACAGTAACTGAGACACAGTAGCCGGTCTTTGTAGATCATAGTCGCACAGTAACTGAGGCACAATAGCTGATCTTTATAGATCATAGGCGCACAGTAACTGGCTCCAAAACTTTCTTTTCTCTTCCTCCTAATATCCAAAGAAGATTAGACACTTTTGTCACGGGCAAATTGATATCGACAAAAGAAACCTTGAAATTTACTTTTAGGTTCCTAAGAAATGCCAATTAAATTGCTAAAGTTGCGTTCAGCAGCAGAAGCTCTGCAAGTCCGCAAACAGGGCACAATAATCGGGCCCCTCCACCCCAATTTCCGCGGAATCGTGTTCGAGTGTAAACGTGGCCTAAACAGCCTGTCGCGGTCGCTCGCTCGCCTGTCTCCAGGCGAGGCGATCCGCAAATAGGCCTATCGTTCTCGTATGTATAGCTCCGCTCGAGTGTCCGGGCTCTAATGGCGATGCTGCTCGATGCTAATTTGATTCCCGTGTAGCGCAATCACAGGCCTGATTGTCGATGTTACGCGCATCACGCGCATTCCTGCGTGCGCGCTGGCCGCGTTTTCCATCTTGCACGATTAATTGTCGGTCGTGCGTGGCCGGGCCGAGCCGGGCCGGGCTAGGCCCGATCGACCGTTCCCTCCTGCCCCTCCGATCCCTCTGTTACCCCGTGGAACCCTCTGGTCCCTCCGGTGCCGGTGGTTCTCGCCGCGAGAATGCTGGAATGCGCAACGTTCCCGTGTCTCTAATCTCCGGCGTACACAATGCCCGGACACAGAACCGACCAGAGTGCCGAGAGAGCTCTCCGACCGGCACAGAATGTAATACGGCGCGATACCAGATATAACGTGCATTTACATACACGATCCAAGAGCGATCCGCCGGATCGCGCTCGATCGCGCCATTCCGATCCGCTCTTCCGGCAACCAGGGCCCGCTTTCCCTCCGACTCTTGCCTCTTCTTCCATCATCGCCGAATCTCTCACTGGGCAGCACAGATATCGGGCAACGTGTTCGCCTCGAGATACACCCAGCGATTCTCTGGTTGCGAGGAAAAACGCTGCAGTCTCGAAAAATTTTAATTGATTTAAATTCGTCGATCGAACCGTTCCAAAAATTTCATAGACTCGCGGATACAGTGATTTCTCCCTTATTCGCGCACAGATTGCGCACAAAAGTGGACAATTTGCGAAGAGGAGATACGATTAATATGCAATTATGTAGTTGTTGAAACTGTAGAAGCGAACTGCAAGGCTTGAATAATCGTATTTCCGCTTCTCAAATTGTCGATTTTTGTGCGGTTTTTAGCGCGAATTAGGGAGAAATGACTGTATTCGCGAGAATACAGTGATTTCTACCTAATTCGCGCTCCGATTGCGCAGAAAAATGGACAATTTGGGAAGAGAAGATACGATTATTATGCAATTGTGTAGTTGTTGACAATAGGTAACTGTAGAAACGAACTGCAAGGCTTGAATAATCGTATTTCCGCTTCTCAAATTGTTCATTTTTGTGCGCTTTCTCAGCGCGAATTAGGAAGAAATGACTGTATTCGCGAGAATACAGTGATTTCTCCCTAATTCGCGCTCAGATTGCGCACAAAAGTGTACAATTTGCGAAGAGGAGATACGATTATTATACAATTATATAGTTGTTGACAATCGATAACTGTAAAAATGAACTGCGAGGCTTGAATAATCGTATCTCCACTTCTCAAATTATCGATTTTTGAGCGCGAGTTAGGGAGAAATCACTGTATTCGCGAGCCTATGAAATGTTTAGAACATTTCGATCAACGCGTTAATTTAAAATTTGCATACTATTGCATAATGCAATTTGAAACACCGCTCATACGAAGCATTTAATGATCAGCGGACCGCGAATTTTTATGCAAAATAAAAATTGCGTCAATTGCAAGAAATAGACGCTGAACAGCACGTCCTCTCTTTCCATAATAATAATTTAAAATAGATTAACAATAATTCCCAAACATTTCGAAACTCTTGATATTCTCGCTACTTCGAACTCGATACAGGAAAACTCGTTTCCCGTACGTTCTAATCGTTTTCGACACCCGCGCAATTTTCGGACTGCAAGCAGCGTGGGAGAGTTTCGAGAGTCGGCGGTCGCCCGATGTCGCGCGATCGTTTTTCTGGCGACGCGACGCGGCCGTTCCGCGTGTGCGTGCGCGTATGGAAGTTTGCGAAATCACGAGCGCGGGAGTGCAGAACGCGGTACGAGGAATAGTTCGCGGCAGATAAAGAACCGAGAGGGTTTCCGAAAAAGAAGCGGATCGGGACTGCCGATTTCCGATGCGTTCGCGGAGCCATCGACTGGAGGGGGTCGAATCGGAATCGCTTGTATCGCGACATCGCTAATGCATCGTGTCGCGGGTACAGAACGCGCGGCCGTGGATGCACTGCAGAATTACGAGACCGGCGAGCAGCCGCGCCGCGGAATTCCCTTCTGCTTATGGAAGCGCTCGCTCGGGAACCCTCGGGGACATCGAAAGAATCGGCGGGGCGCACAATGCGACCGTCAATGGACAAAAATGAAAAAATTCGCCGCTTCGTACCGATTTGATAAAGTGTGTAAATAATCATACTTAGCGACAGAATATGTTCAAACAATTGTGCAGCAGATTCATTTCAAGCGAGTTCTACGAGCAGATTAAGATAGATAAAAGCTTGCTTTACGAAGTTAATCTTCGTAGAAAATGATGGCCATATTATGGCCACATTATATGATCGTAATTAATCTATAGAAATTATGATATGAAATTTATTTATATATATATATATATATATTATTATATTATATAATAATAATAATATATATATATATAATAATTATTATATTTATATATAAATAATTAAGTTCGCTTCATTTTCCTGCGCTTCGGATAAGGTTTCAGAAACAGCGGCTCAAAATATCCTGGCTTTCTTACTCCGATATATTCGCCAGATAGTACATTTTGACATTACAAAAACTTTTCTTGCGAAAAGTTGCGATCTTCAGAGTTATTTAACAAAATATGTAGCCATAATCGATCTCAAACGATGCGATACGATCGCTACGAACTTACAGCCACTAACGCAAAGTTAATGAAAAAATCTTTCGAATGAAAGTTACTCGGTATTCGGCTAACAATAGATTGCGTTAATAAAAATCTGCGTAAAAGATTTTGTTCGATAAAGTATAAAGGTGACAAGAATTTTTTCTGCGAAGTCATGTAATTTTTTGGTACAAATCTTCGCGCACCTTTGTATTTTCTTTGACAAATTATTGCGGCATTTTGGTTAAACATTGACCAAAGCTTTGAAGTTCTGATTTTTATCCCGAGCGCGAGACGAATCGAAAGCGAGATTCGCGGGAACAACGCGAATCGGCCGAATGTCAAGCGCGCAGTCTGAGGGACAGGGTCCTCGACCGTTTAATTGGCGCAGACAACAATCGCAGTCTTAATTAACCTTCGGAAAACAGACGTAAGAATTCCTGTCG